TAATTCAGTGACGCATGTGTTCTAACAAGTCCATGAGATATGCTCTAATGAAACCCGATTACACATGGGTATTAATCTAAGAATGTCTTTGAACAATTGACGCATTAGGTGTAAGCATGGGTATGAAACTTACCTTTATAATTACGTTCGATATTATCGCGGAAAACTTCCTTTAGTAATATTTTGTAAATATAGTTGTAGTCATTATGTTAAAAAAGCGTTTTAATATATTTAACGATGTAAATATACTAGCAGAAGTATATTTTTTTGTTTGTTCAAAGTATAACAAGCAAGTGTTATGATATAATAATGAAGGTACGACGTTGTTTCATTTAGTGAAATGTTTTTTCAAAAAGTACATATTGTGCAAATATTTTTATTAGGAAGATAAATACAATACGTAAAGTACGCGTAGCGTAGTCATGAAGAACATGCTTGCTTTTAGAAATATTATCTTTGTCAAGTGGAAAGAACTCGAACTTTTTTAATGTATTCATTAATAAGCCATTCATACAATACATTTCCTTATTTGAATTATTTGAACGTGACTCACAAAATAAAATTTTGGACATTACTGCAACAAAACGTCACAAACGTGATTAAAAGTCACGGGCATATATTGATCGGCACATGCGACAAGATCATTTTGACGTTACATTAGTATGTTGAAAAGATATTTCATTACAAACTAAATTACTTATAATGACCATTGTATTCGTAATCTTTTATTTTACATAAGATATTAATAAATTTACATTATTTGAAATTTGTATTTTCCCATTAGATATAATAAGAATCATTAAAATTCCAACCCTTAAAGTCCGGTTATATTATTAACATGGTTTTTTGGAGATATCATTTAAAGCATTTTATTATACTCATACAGGAGCACCACTTCAATTTATTCTCTGTGAAGTGTGCATTTAATGGTTGATTGTATTATCGTTTTATTTCTTATCAATGATGATCGTATTAAAATTTTTCAGATATGCTGATCGAAATAAAAATGTCTTTGTTTATGAACAAAAATTTTTGTGATTTTAAAAAATAAAGGTGTTGATTGCAACAATAGTGGTCATTCAAATACGTAACGAAAGCCAAGCAATATATATTTAGGGCAACAAGACAGCCCGACGTGATCTTCAAGCGATTATTACAAGTACCAACAGCAGTTCGCCCAAAATAATTTCTTACTAATGCAATTCTTTTTTTAGACTATACTTCTTTTGAAGTTGGATGACATGTTGAAATAGGTAAAAAATATTTTTCAGCCGCGGAAATTCCTCGCGTTCGTTACCTAATAATTTAAAAATTAAAAAAAAAAAAGGATTAGATGAAACTAAGCAAGCCACTAATAGATAAATAAACAAAAAAAAGAAGGACGTTCTCGTTAGAGGCCACAAAGCGCTTCCAGTTCTCCCTCCATTTATTCACCTAAATAATGGGCAACTATAATAGAAAATCATTTGACCATAAAGGTAGAACTATTATCTTAAACGCGAAAAGAAACATTTCTATAAATGTCGGTTTATTTTTGTAAATACTTTTTATTCTAAAATTTAATATGAAAATGACTATTTTTAATTGGATAACTATCAATTCAAGGTAAATATAGAAATGATCTTTGGTTCGAGTTCTCGTACATTCACGGTTAATCATCCAATGGAATGTGCCTGCGTCACGGCTAAACCGTATTTCGAATTTTAATCGGACTGAACATTGGATTATGGATTTACGTAACCGACATCTTTTGAAATATTGTTATAAATGTTGCAGAAATCCAAAATGAATGTCCAAAAATAAATTACAAAGATAAAATTGCCTATCATTTTAAAAATGTTTAAATTAATTATTTCTTATTACTTCGTATAGAAACATTAATTTTTTTTTTAGCAACCAACAAAAAAAAAAACGTGATAAAAGATGGATGGTAACACGATTTTTCTGAACAATGAAAATTATTATTCCTTATTCCGATTTACGTCGGTTCATGAAATCTTTGCCCAACCGTTGGGAGCAATCATAAATTTTACTATCATCATCATCTCTCTAATTATTACGAAATTGTCAAAGATAATATCTCTCAAGTTATTATGCGTCATTCCCGATCCTTAGGTATCATAAATTTCTTTTGATTTTTGTGATCGACAAGTCCACCTTCCAAATTTGTTTTGTTGTTACCCAACCTTTTCAAAAAATAATTTATGGACATGGGCATTGGGCCGATATTAGGATATTTTGATCAAATATCCAAATTGCAATTACCTAGTCATTTTTGAAAATGGAAAGACTTTAACGACTTTTCGGACTGGGCACCAAATACTCCAACTGTGGATAACGCGAAATGGTTTATATTCTTTAGCTTTGCTTAAGGTAGGAAATCAAATCAGTTGTCATAAAAATTCTGGTTTTTACGTGGTTATTACTGGGTTAGAAAATACTATTAATCACGCTAATAATTTTCATTTTTATATTTGTTATTTGATAGATGTTAAAACACGGTTAGTTTTATTTAATTTTTCCAAGTATTATTCAACAACAATTTATATAAATTATTGATAGGATGTGCCGAAATACCTATGGAAGTCATGGGTTTGAGTCTTGGTGAATTCGTGTACTTGTAATTGATGTATTTGCTATGCCTCAAAGTGGTACAGGCGTTTCCATAGAAGCGGTCGATCCCAAAATGTTGGATATGTTGAAGCAAACTGGACGGTGTGAATTGAAGTTCTTTTGTGTATGAGATTGAGGTTTATGTCTGATTTCGATTAATGAATTTTATAGACCCAAAATGGTGGTTGGCTGGTATCATTCTCACCCTGGATTTGAATGTTGGCTGTCTAGTGTAGATATAAATACACAACAAAGTTTTGAGGCATTGAATCAAAGGGTTATGGCTGTTGTTGTTGTTGATTTGATATAGTCCGTCAAAGGCAAAGTAGTTATTGATGCTTTTCGCATGATCGATCCTCAAATGCTTATGCTAGATCAAGAACCACTTCCAATATTGGACATCTTAATAAACCAAGTATTCAAGTACAATCATTAATTTATATCTGTTTTGATTTTAAAGTTTATATTCGTTAACTTTTTGATTTATCCTTACTTAGGCTTTGATCCATGGATCGAATCGTCATTATTATTCGATTGCTATTAATGATCGAAAGAATGAATTAGAACAGAAATGTTGCTCAATTTGCACATAAAAATTTGGACCCATGGATTGACGCTGCCAAACTTTACGGAACACACCGAGATCAATGGAAAGAGTGTCAATGTAAAGATTTAGATTTACCTTTCCTTCCAAAAAAGATTTTTTTTTTCGATTAGCTTATGAAAAAATTTCAATCGATGCTTACATTGGCGGAATCTTATAATAAATCGGTACAAGAGGAATCAACCATGACACCTGAACAATTGAAAGCTCGACATGTTGGAAAACAGGATTCAAAGCGTCATATAGAAGAAAGTGGAAGACGTTATATCCAATAATATTGTAAAGATACTGGGTATTATGATTGATTCAGTCAGTTTCATAGATACAAATCAAAAAAAATAAAATACAGGGATAGCCATTATTTAATTTACCAATTTTGTTGAAACGCAAACTTTTTGTGTTTGAAAAAATTAATACTTTTAAATATATAGTATGAATGAAATAAATTTTGAAATTTTAAATAGTATAAAATTACAGCATTTCATAAAATCTCAACCCATGTTTAAATTTAAAATTGATCGGAAATGACACGAGAATAATTTTCTTTGCTATTGTTATACTCATCAATTAATTATTTGGAGCTAAAGTTGGTAGGCAAATTTATTAACCGAAAGCCAATACGCCAAATTTAGAATTCAATTAACATATTTGGAAATAATAAAGCATGCTTTTGTATAAATAAACATTTTTTCATTTTTTCACGCGGTTATTTTTTTTTATTTTTTCACGCGTTTATCCTTTTTTTTCCTTTATAAAGAAACAAAAAAGCGGACAAGTTTTTGAGCACATCTTTCTCATAGTACCTTATACATAATTATGACCAAGCTATAATGTTCTTTTCTTTTTTGTAGCCCTTTCACAAAAAAAAAAATTTCTCATAATGAACCGCGCCCACCTTGAATATACTGTCACGGCTTTTATTTTTCTTTCAGCAAGAGACTATCTTCTAAAAACTTTACTCTTGCCGTAGCTGATATCCGGATCTCAAAACTTAACCTGCTGGTAAGCTCTTTATTCTTTTTCTTTAATGTAGTGCCCTATCATTATCGAGAATAGTTTCCTCTCGTTATTTCGTGAAATATGGACGAATATTCTCCATTACAAAAAATATTTTTACTCCTAAGCGTCGCCGATATTTCGATCTATCGCATCTATTACCTTCTACGTGACTATCTTTACTTAGATTCCATAATTAATTCCCTTTTCCACTTCTTTTTCTAGAATTTTTTTTTTAAAACGATGAAAATATCTGGAAATAACTTTTATTTCGTGTTCCGATTTCTAACTCTTCCTTCCTTTTTCTCCCGATAAAAACAACTCATATTGACAAGACTAAAAAATTCAAAAAAAAATGTGCTGTACCTTATTAATGTTAATATTCTTAATTTTATTAGTCAACACGACGAAGTAGAAGCGGCAAATACGGGTATACAATCATTTGATTTTCATAACATTTTTTTTTTTTATTAATTTTCTTATTAAGGATGGGGGGGACCGACTATAATTGTTACAATAAAAAAGGACCGGTACAACTGCTCGTGAATGTAAGGGTCTGCGATTTCTGTTAAAAGAATTGCTATGCATCTGCCCTTATGTTTATAAAACTATTTCACGAGTGGGTGCTCACGCAACCCGAGTCCTGTTGGATATCGCCCATCCTTGTAGCGTTTGTAGTGTATCGAAAGTCGACAAAGCCGAGCAGTATTGGATACCCCATCCTTGGAACGAAGCCGATACTTGTAAGTTACTTATTTTATTTATTATATTTCTTTCTGATCTTTTTAGCCTTGTCATATGAGTTGTTATATAAGTGTACTCGTATAATTTAAATAAAAATTGTTAATAAAAACAAATAAAGTTTAACATGATTTTTTAAAAAATGTTTGTAATGTAAATATATAAATAAAGTTTCTATGAAATATTATATTTATTCCTTTTAATACAGTTTTCATATTTGTTATTTAAATTATTGCGAAGAGGTCACATAATAAATAATTTACTGATATGAATTGCGTTATAAATATTGAAAGTTAATGATATTTTACAAAGAATCTTTCACCAAAAATACATAGAAGTAAAAAATTTATTATTTTTATCTCTGTTTTTATTTAAGGAATTTGAATGACATTATTTTTTGTACACAAAGTCGTTTCGCTGGTTGTTTTTTAAAAGTAAGTTATTTATTTTTTTGGAAAAGCAAATTATAGTTAAACGTCTTGGAATTTTTTCTACTATATTAATAATAGAAAAATATTAAATCCTGCGTCCCGAAAATTTCTTAAATATCACATAGGGGATGAGATAACTTAAAATCAAAATTTTTTCTCGTGATCTTTTTACATAAAAAAAAAAAAAAATACTAATTAATTTCATGATCCTTTATGATAAGCCGCAACTTCTAATAAATTCGTATCGCAAATATGTGTTTGCTTGACTTATTTAAAAGGTGTTTTTAAGTAAAAAGTAGCAACTTTTTTCCTAAAAAAATTCATAAAATAAATTAACATAACAAATACGGCTACCATTTTTTTGGGGACAGCTAAGTCCGACTTTGTCAGTCTTATCATGTGAAATTAATTGATCACCTAGCGTTAATTCGGAAAGACGATTTGACAATGTCCGTTTTCTAGCGAAATTACGAAATTGCCCCGCTATATTCAGCCCGTAGCCAATCAGAATCTTCACTGATCAAACTTAACAAAAATGAGAGTTTTTTTGTAATAATTTGTTTCCTTCAATAAAAAATTTTAAATTATGCAAGTAGCTCACGAACTTTCAGATTTCCAGGATGGTAAAGAACGCATTTTAGTTTTAAAAGATTCGAGCATTCTCGAAAACGCAGGTAACTTTTATCTAGAGAGTTTTTTAATTTACAAGCTCTTACTTATTGCTTTTTATTACAGAAGAAGGTGATAAGCTAGTTTCTATACAGATTGAAGAACAAAAAAGACTCAAAAAGAATTTAGAAAATAAAAAGAAAAAACCTATTTATACTGGTTATGATGACGAAGAATTTAATTTTGGTGGAGGAAAATATCTAAAAAGAATATCTTATCACATTATGATGAGGAAGTCGAAGGAAATAAGAGAACTGTATATAACTTTAATAGTTTATATAATTTCTTTATTTAATTTAATTATAAAATCTAAATATAAAATAATAATATTTTAATTAGATAATAAATTGATTGAAATTTTATCTTTTTGTTGTAAAAAGATCAATATTATTGCCATTTCATTACTAACTAAAGGTTCTTATTTAACTATACTGATCTAAATAGATATTAAAAAAAAGATAATGATAATTTTATCATAATTAAATATCTATATTATAATAATATATAAATCAAATAAATATAAATTACTAATTTTAATTCATCATAAATATTAGTCAGATTACTATTCTCTATATTGTCTACTTCTTTTTAACCACCATTTTTTTCTTCTTCATATTTATTTCAACATCATCAGCTTCACTATCTTTACTATTAGTTCTAAATTAACCAGTTGAATTGGTTTTGGTTCAGCCTTGACAGATTTGATTATTGTTAGAATAATGATAAGCAATTTAACAAATTCTGATTTGTCAGAAATTACTAATCCTTCACCAGAAATCTCATCATCTTCATAAGGCTCTTCCTTAATTTCTGTCACTATTAGAAATAGAGATCCAATATTTAAATAATAATTTTTAAATAATAAATCATAATGATGAATTTCTGGCAATATTTTCAACACTCAACTTTGCAACTTATTTTGCTGCCATTTCTCTCATTCTAGATAAAGCTTGTTAAAGGTCATCATCATCAGCAACCTTCTTTCTTACTTTCTTCGTCTTTATAGTCTATTATGCATAAACTGATGTTAACTTTGTTTAATGAATTTTTGGTTTCTCTTTTTAAAAAATCAATTAAATGGTTCTTGAAAGTGACTTCGGCTGTATAATAATCTTTAATTTCAATCATCTCTATGGAATTAAAATAAAATAAAAAAGAATAAGCACTAATTATAATATAGTATTTGTTGAATAGTATATAAATGATATTACTATTGTAAGACAAAGAAATCGGCCTCGACTTTAATTTCTCCGCTACTCATTCCTTCGCTC